CCGCCGCGGGCCTTCGGCTGAGCGTGCGCGTGCCCGGCCCTGCCCCTACGGCCGCTGCTGCCCAATCCGGGTGCACGCGGTTCGCGCCCTTCAGCCAGTGACCCCCGCCCGGTCTGCCCCGCCATCGCAGGGCCCTGACATTTCTTCCTGCCTCATCCGCTTAAGCTCGTACCCTGGGCACGCCGCTGTTTTGTGAACCCCGCCAGCAGCCCTGGCAGCCGGCAAAGCTGCAGCGCCCGCCTCGCGCTGTCCGCCCCCACCTCCGTGCCCTGCAAAATCGTCGATTTCAGCAGAAAAAGTGTTTGAGAGAAATAACCCGGGAGCACCCAGAGTTAAATGTCTCCCGAGAGAGTTTCTCTTGGGACAACAAACTTCCCTACACTTCTCTTCTGAGCAACGCTTCTGTAGTTCAACTCCTGATTTACAAATGTTTTCATGCTGAGGAAGAGCACCGCGCCCCCCAATGCCTGTCCAGCTTCCTCTCAACCAAGCAGGTGGTCCAATAAAAGAGGCTGCCCTGGGAAATCCTTGCCTCTTCACTTCACCTTTTCAGTCAGACGGATTTGCAATTGGGGCCCTTCTCTAGTTATCTCAGCTGCCCTTCCCGCTGATGCCATTTCGTTTCGGTCCTTTTTTTCTTCGTTTTTATTTGAACAAACCTAATGAGCTTACAACCAGCTCAGGTTTCGCAGCACAGTACCACACCTGTGCCATGCCTCATTTTGAGTGTCCTAATGCAAGTGGTTACATTGAACAGAAATTGATTACAACATACTATATTTATGCCATTATTTCTGCTTGCCTTTCTGTCTGTTGTGGCTTCTGTAGGCCTCTGTCTTCTGTTTCTACAGAAGCCTGTAACAAAACTTAGCTTAAATGGATATCTTCAGGAAGAGTGGCCCACAGTTGTACCAATTCCCATGTCTTTTGTTATCTAGAAATTTTGTTTTAGACTCCAATTGCAGATTTTTTCAATTTCTTGGTGGATGGACAATCTAAAATTGATGATAGACAATGAATGTTTGTCTCCGTAAAGTTATTTTCATGGATGACTAATGCTTTGCTTTGTTATTAAATGTAATGGTTTCACTTAGCTTATACTAATGTGTATAAGGAAGACAGCGCATGCCAGTGGTGACATGTACATGCACCCCCTGAGAGCGCTGGTGCACCCCCTGACAGGCAGCACTCCCCACTTAGGCAATGGGCAGGGGGGGCAGGCGGGAGCACTGGTGTGCCCCCTGCGAGCACCAGCTGGGGAGTGGGGGTGCCAGGAGAGGCACTGCTGGCATTTCCATGAGCACTGCTCATGTTTCCCAGTCAGTGCAATAGGCTGCTGGGGGACCCACCACGGTTACTGACTGGCCACTGACTCAGGAGGCACCAGTTGCCCATAGCTCATACTCTGCTGTCTATTATGGCATGTCTATTCTGTTTACTGTAGTCAAATGTGGGATACAAATCGATTGTCTTGGCCCGTGGAAGTAATTGAAACCTCTGGCCATATTAATTCCTTCTTTCTTAAGCCAAGGTTGGAAAATGTACTTTGATCTATGGTCTAGATCCAGCAAAGGATTTTGGCAAAACTGAGGCATCTAAATTAAAAATTTGGATCTAAAATACCACTGCTCAGTTGCCACCTAACTCTGAAAGCAACTAAACACCTGTTTGATAGTCACATTTCCTCTACACTCTTGTGCACGCCTAGAACTGCTTGTCTCAGTTCAGTGCTGTTCTTCACCTAAACCTTCTCATGGTCCAGAAACTAGTCATTGGCTCTGCCTAGCATGATTTGCTCTGCGTTCTCAGAGCTTGTAAAACAAGCACCAAGCAGGCTAGGATCCCTCACAAAATGAGCACTTTAAAACAGTTGGATGAGGCTGCATGATGCTGGTATCTGTCTTTTACATTGTAGCCCAGGTAACTCAGGTGTATACTCCCCTTCTCCAGTTGAAGGGGATTGTTAGCTGGCAGGTGTGCTGTGGGGTGGGAACTGCAGACCGCTCAGTTTCCCTCCATCCCTATAGAACCAGGCCAGGACAGTCAGGGGACATAACTGTATACAAATGTATTTACATTAACTTATCACAAGGGAAAGGAACATGGATATAAACATATGTACAATGTATATATATAATGACATAAAACCTTATACCAGTGCTCCAGATACAGGTAAGTATCTGATCTGAAACAAATAAATCTCAAAGATAATCCCAAGGGGATACCCCAATGCCCTTGGGCTTTTCCCAAGCCCTACAAAGAAGCTGGTAACTTTAGGGGGGCCATCTCAGTGGGACCTCCCCTTTTAGGAGGCCTTAACTAACCAGGGGAAGACTCCCCTCCCCTGTGGGAATCCTCTTTTCCTTGGAACTCTCAGCTCCCAGGCCTGCAGGGTGGTCCTCGTCCTCTGCGCCAGGCTGCTCTCTCGCCTGCAGTGGGCTTTGGTGGGGGGTTGCTGTCCCCTGGAATAGGACTCTGCTACGCAGGGCTTCTGGGGCCTCTGGCTTGGCCCTGTCGACTGGCTCAGTAGCCCAATCACTGTCTGGCTCTCTGGACTCAACCTTTTGCTATGGGTCGGAGGCCTGGGCTGCCTTGTACAGCACCAGGCTCGGTCCGCTCCCAGACCCTCCATGCAGCGCCTCCTGCACCAAGCTCCCAGCCTCATTTCAAGGGTTGAGGACCTGAGCCGCCCAAGCACTCCAAAGGTCCTACTCCATGCACCGGCCTGTGTACCGTGTCTCTGGCCACGCACCAGAGGTTGCAGACCCGAGCCGCCTCACGCAGCTCCCAAGATCTGGACGCCATGTTGCCGTGCTGCATCCCGAGAGG